TCTCAAAAATACTGAATCCTACACTTACATCATGACTGACTTGATTCACAAGGCTTTTGCTTATGCAGTGTCGGTTCAAGAAAAGGTTGTCCAAACACGGATTCTCGTTGCGACCATGGCTGAAGCACTGCCTGTGGAAAAGGCCCTGAAGACGGTGCGCTCGGCGTTCAATGCGAGGAACTACAAAGATGTGCCGCTCGCTCGAGTTGACTACGGCTCGGACTACATCCTGCACGATGGGAAGGTGAAGGCCGAGGTCATCCCCGACGAGCTGCGCGTCGCCAACCGAGAGGCTTGGTCAGACATGTTCCGTGATGCGGCAACTCAATCATTCATCGTCAAGGACGTGAACTCCGGTGTCGACCTTGCCAAGATGAGTGAACGCACCGATGCGCTGGCTCTCGCCAAGAATGTTATGTCATCGTTGACAGGTGCTGCGGGTGTTCTCAAAGAGGCTCCGGCTGAGGCTTTCGATATCCTCTTCTGCCCGGGGAAACCCGCGGTCAACTATCTGTTTTTCGGCGACTCCTTCAATGCATTGGTCAAAGATGGAGCAAAGACAGATGTTGGCACCATCATCAAGGAGAATAAGCGGACGCTGTTTGGGCACAAGCACGAGGTCTGGTCCGAAATGACATGGGGCAAAGGACTGGCGGAATCTCTTGATGCCGCTGAGCGGGCAATGCTAAAGCTCGCCGAAAGGCCTGAGCCCCGGCCGTACGTCATCGTGATCTCCTGGTCTGGAAATGATGTTGTCGGGCGTAACGGGTACATCGACAACCCCGCCGCCCTAGCGGGCTGGGCCACTGACTCCGAAGCAAAGCGCAAGGCTGCGATGGACATCATCGAAAGGAACGCTCGTGCGGTGATGACTGTCCGTGACCGGCTACGACATATTGCTTTTCGGGAAGACGTGGTCCAGGTCGTGCTCATCGTACCCCGGGACTTTGAGACGTACGGATTGAGTGAATCTTATAAGACTCAAATGGACGGTCATGCACGTTTGTTGCACGGTTCAGCGGGAATCACCGTCCTCGACCCCCAGACTCTCATATCCAACACGTCCCGGGCAGACCGCATCCACACCGATGACACCGAGCGCAACAGAAAACATTACATCAACTTCTATGTGGCCGCCGCGAAGCTCGGGTACTGCATCGGCCAAATCAACCGCTTCGAAGGGGCTATGAATTGGTACCGCCTCAAAAGGGAATACATGAACATTGACACATCTATTCCCATCGTTGGCGCTACACCCCAGGAAACTGGCGGTCCGGCAATTGCAAAGAACCCTGAGGACCCTTTCGACAACGAGGTCCGCGAGAGGGAGCTGGAGGCGATCAATGAAATCGCTGCGCAAGAGCCGAAGCGCGAGGTTTTCCTGGAGACCGAAAAGGAGGCGAACCCCCTCTACCCCCTCGACACCGTCAAGGAGGAAGCAAAGATTTTGCAGATGATGCAGCCCGACATTCACGCGGCGACCGTCAGCGGCCTCAACGATGTGATTGATTGGTCTTCTTCTTCGGATGAGGAGGACTTGATCAGCTTCGACCTGCCCCCTGGCTCTCAGCCTAAGGTCAGCCGGCCGAAAGGCCAGGCCGTTGAGGTTGCCGCCGTGGATCCGAACGATGTTGGTGAGGACGGCCAAATCAAGCTTTTCCTCACTTCCAAACGGAAAAGTCATAACAAAATGACTGCAGCTCTCAGTGCTGCGACACCAAAGGTGAAATCAAAGGCAATGCCAATGCCTGCTGCCTCATCCAGCGATCAGGCGCCCGTGGCTGGGACTAGCAAGACTCAGCCCGGAGAGATCCGTGGCCCGGAGAACATCCCCAAGGCGAAGGCAGTTTCCAAAGCTGCTTCAAAGCCCGGGGAGACCCGTGGCCAGGCTGCTGAACCCAAGAGGGAGTGGATCAAGTGCTCAGGAATCAAGATTCCCCAGATCCAAAACTATGGCAGAAGGACGTTCTTGAGCAAGAAGGTGTCGTATTTGGTTCGCGGACATGCCCACGAACACGCGACGCGATCCATCCCTGAGATCAATCTCAAGGACAACTCCTTCGACTACGCAGCCGTTGCCAAATGGATCCAACGCCGATATGACTGGAACTGCTCCCAATACACTCTTCTTCAGGCCACGTCCACATCGAATCGGTTCGAGGTCTATGTCGAGTACGCGCCGGCCGGACAGCAATGGAACGGGCTCAGTTTCATGCCACTACGCATTCGCGCGTTCACCGGCCTCAACGATTGGGTGACCGAGGCCAGCGGCTTTGACAACATTCCTGGAGATCCCATTGCAATGGATGTCAATTACACCATCGAGCACGCAAAGAAGGGTGTGCGACCGGGCTTCTGCAAAGATTTCTCGGACGCACGCCGAAAGGCGCTGCCCAAGATCGCCTACCACACGTGCAATATGCAGAACTTCTTTGACATCATCTACATGGGCATCTTTCCGGGCGGAATGGGAGACCGGCAAACCTCGCGTGGTCACGCCTACCTAACGGTGGTGCCTCCTTGGGACAGGCACGGCCGGAAGGCGGGGGGTGCGCGTGCTGACCGACCCATCAACATCGCCGTCGACGTGGAGATGTTGATCCAATTGGGATGTCGGCTGTACGCACCCGGAGACGGGGAAGCCCTGGTGACGGAGGATTGGATCACGAACAAGGTCCTCATCTACGCCTATGACGCTGAATGTGCCAAGTTTATCTGGTCCAACCGGATGTACGTCAGCGTCAGACGGAACTACCAGGACAGCATCAAGAAGTACCGGGAAGAGACCCAGAAGGGCGTTGTCGGTACCCCGGTGCTGGAATCCTTCATGGCCAACGTCGAAAAGGAATGCAAGCTCTACTACAAACAGTGGGCTCCAACGGCGTGCCGTGACTTGACGCGGCCCCATCGCATCGGCAATATCACGAAAGTCAAGGATGTCGTCGACGAAAACCTTCCGAAGGAAGAGCAAGTCATGCTTGAGTTCGAGACTGCCCGCTACGGCCTCTACAGAAATTGGGCCCGAGCTGTGACGCAGCAGCCCGGGGAAACCCGAGGCCGGAGTGGTTTGTGGCAGGACTTGGATCCCAACAAGAAGAAGTCGACAAACTGGCGCTTCGCCGAGGTGATGCACATCCCTGACGTTGAGTGCCCTCGCTGCAAAATCCTCATCCCGGTTGGCACCATCAACTGTTTCCAGTGTGACCAGTTGATGGAACGGATGCCCGATATCAAGAAGATAGCCAGGGTCGTCCGGTTGCAGGAGATGGCCAACTCATTGGGCGTGCCGCTGTCCATGGACCAGGTTGAGACTCAGATTTTGACGCAGCGAAAGGATGCGCGGGGGGATCGAAGCGCAAGAGGGGGCCTCGGCATCATGAAGGACATTGCCAAGAAAGCAGTTCTTCGCAACAAGGAGTACACCACGCTCTACGAGAGGCTGATCAATGACCCCTTTTACGCCTACACTGCCGCGCGGGGAGACCTGACGCCGTCCGCCCTCGAGTTCATCGAAAAAGTGGCACGATGCATCATTCCGAGTTTCGTGAGGACCAAGGAAATGATCCAAGGAAGCGTTGCTGTGCCGAAATATCACGCACGGCTAACGCTGGTGCCGCCTACGGAGGACGTGCAGGAGGTTGACCCGAAGGACGTCTACGTTGTGCATGGCGGCAGATTTCTGGAACCAGAACAATTTGCTGCACTTTACGGAAGCCTTGACAAGAGCAACCGCTACACCGTGATGAGCTGGACCCGGGATTTCTCGTCTGTGGGAGACCCCGAAATGGTATTGGTGGAGTTGCTCTGCTTCGTCGAAGAGGAGATCCCCAACATCGAGATCCCTGGACGGGCCACCCCGCTCCCTGCAGTTGTCGGTGTGACGCGCAAGCCCATTCCGCAGCTCCGGGAGACCGGTGGCCAATGGCAGGATCGTCAATGGAGCCAGTCGTACTGGGGAAGTTGGGGCCAGTCCTGGGACTCGTGGTGGTCTGATGATCAGCGCCCGTGGAAGAGCTCCCGCAATTGGGATTGGCGATGAATGAGCGATCTCTTCAACAATCTTTTCTATCTTCGGCTGACATCCATTTACATTTCAAATTCAATATTCATTATACTTCTCAATCATGTTGGCCGAGGATCAATGTACAGTGCATGAGCACGCCTCGCGGGAGCGACGGTCAGTGGAGGCGGAAGACCTTAGCTGCCGATCGCTCGAATCCAAGTGCTTGTGTGCTGCAAAATGACGTCATGCCTATCGGGTTTCTTTGGTTGTCTCATCCCTTTCATTTGTCCTCCTGTTTCACATTCGGGCACGGGGGGTGTAGTTTGCAACGTGATGTATTTATCAACCATGTAAAACCCCAATGCATGAATGTCTCACTTGTGCAGTCTCATCATTACGACTGCATATGGCTCAAGGAAAAAGCGCGCTGTGTACAGGGTTCATTTGTGACCCTTCCCGGTTGTTTAACCTGTTCTATAAGTTGAAGCCACCCAGAGTCACTAGGATTCGACCACTTGATGATTTGGCCACTGCAACCAGTGCTGCTGGATGTCTTGAACGTACGTGGCGTGCAACGCCGACAGTACTGGCTTTCTCGCGCTCCGACCCCTTTGAAAGAATGAAACACAGATGGCCGTGCAGCAGTTTTATGGTTGAAGCACCTCTAAAACATGATGGACAGAAAACCAGCCGTGCAAATTCTGTCGAGTTATTCCACTTCCCCTGGCAGTGGCAGGCAACCAGGGGTTTCCCACTTTAAAGACAACCTTGGAGAAGAGTTGCCTACGATCATGCCTTGCCTGCAATCCACCAAAATGTCCAATTCCAGTCAGAACTCATTCCCAGAGAGAGAGAGAGAGAGACAGTCTCATGGTATCAAGCATCCAAGCTATCTAGCTGAATCTATCTGGTTCAAAAACCTAATCCCCAATAATTTCCCGTGTTGCGGATTAGATTTACGGATGTCAGCGGTTTGTCGACCGAGCTTTCCATTCAGGTCTCTCAGGCGAGCCGCAGATGTGGCCCCGCCTGGAGGGCGTGGTGAGGTGGCGGCCCCTGCACAACGACGCCGCTGAAGATTGGGCGGAGCTGAAGCAGTACCTTGGCTTTTGGGTTCGGCCCAGTCTTAGTTGCCCAGAAAGGAACCCAAAAAAGATAGATATCTTTTATGAATATTTGTGTTTTTCTGGACTGGTAGTTTAGCAACTAGGTTTCATTATGGTATCCCACGTGTGTGAATTGCGGCATCCCGGTTTAGTGCCCTTGCGCCTCACCGAGAGCCAGTTTGCAATGAATGTTTTGGCACAGCCACGAAACTCCAGACCAGGTTTGCCCCAGGAATTTGCACATAGTCAAACTGCCTTCCTTATGATTGCATTGGGGCGATTTTGAAGGACAGCCAAAATATGACGAGTGGTTCCCCAGGGCGGGTCTCTTCATAGTGGCAACACGCTACGCCTGACAACACTTACGGTAGCGGTTGAGGGATAAATTGAACATGAAATTTGTGCGAAGATCTTGCCCGCCAAATAAATCGGCGGCACGAGACAATCGCATGTGTGTGAACCTGGTTCGTGCAGATGTTTTGGCCTACTCAAGCTATAGTACATATCCCCTGTTCCTGCCGCTTGATTCTCTATAGTTACTTAACCCACTTTGTAAGTGCATCATATTGCACATGCTTACCTCTTCTGGGGGCAGGGGTAGGAAAAAGAGCAAGACTTTGGATTATTTAGCTCAAGGGGTATGATTGTACGAACCAAAACTCCTGGATACCAGCTTTCAGGCGCACTCTCATCCCCTTTTCTCCGTTCATCGCAGGCAGGGCAAGTCGGCCTTTGAGTCTGGGGAGTTTGCTGAAGCAAACAATCTCTATGACCTGGCCATCCGCAAGCATCCGCAGCTTGCCAAGGCCAGTAAGAACCTGAGTAGATGTGTAACTTGCCCTTTGCTTTGTGTTTGGTTGCTTGTATGCTTGGTTGCCTGAGTGTTTGGTTGCTTGTGTCTTTCTTGTTGACTGAGGTGGTTGGTGCAGATGTGTATGTGCTTTGTTGCCCGTGTGTGCGTGTTGTCGGGTGTGTATGCATGCGTCGCTTGTATTGGGAGGTTGGATCAGCACAAGGATTCCTGACGAGAACCACGGCGCGCTTTGGTTGTTGATTTCCCCCTCCTAAGGAATGAGTGAAAGGGAGGTGCGCCAATCAAGGGGTTCTTTAACACACATATTGCTAACACGATGTTTGTTGCAATGGGAAATACAGGGACGCTGCCCCATTTGGGGCTGAGCATGTTTCTTGGTACGTTTCTTTGACTTCCATGAACATCCCTGAAGTTTCCTCATCATCTCCCAGGAGGGACAATCCAGCCACGGACCAGATGCTCGAGATGGCTCCTACTGGTGTCTCTTTAAAAGGGGGTCTGCCAATTTTAGGAAGCATGCATCCAACCATGTAAACAGCGTCCAACTTTGGACACGAGACTGAAACCACCCAGAGTCTACATTTTTGTCGGCCCAAGGAGCTCGTTGACCGCTCCGGGGCGCAAGATGTGTTTAAGCAACCAGGCCCTGGTCGAATGTACTTAAACATGCTGGAGGTCTATTCCCATTCTGTTCAACCCTCATTCTTCTTTCAAACCGTCTGGGAAACAAACAAGACAATGGTTGCCTTTTAAAGCTTCACTGTTCATTTGGTTCTGTTCATTCTTACTGGGGGTCTGCAAAAAGCAGTCGGTTTTTTGCTATACCAGGAGTAGAGGTGAAAGGAAGCCGAGGGAGGCCGGAAGAGTTTGGAGAAAGCCATGGTCCAAAGGATCGGTTTGTCTATGGCTAACCCCGCTGTTTCCCTGACCGTCCGGGCCCGTATATACTCTCAGATTGATTCAGTGCTTGCGCGCGGTAGTCAGGCGATCTGGCATGGGTCTGGGTTTAAAGCATGTCCTTTGCGCAGGTGAGGCTCCAATTTTTCCACCGCCCTCGTTGAATTTTGCCGCCAGGTGGCGGCGCTGCTGTGCAACTCCAGCGCCGCGCTGTTGGAGCTCCAGCGCTTTGTGGAGGCCACGGATTTCGACGTCGGGGAGTCCAAGTGACGGAAAACGGTTCGAGCTTCCACTTTTTTGGACTACTGGAACTGGAACCTCCCTACTAAATCAACCCCTGTTCGTTAATCTGGGGGCACCCTTGGTTTTAGTGGGGTTTCATCACTTTTCGTTGGAGCACCCCATATTAAGAAGCACGGGTTGATTAAACAGGGGTCAGCATTACCAAGCTGCCGACAAACACATCCCATGCCAAACCTTTTCGGGGATTCCAACACCAAGTGACTTCCCTTTTTGTCCCATGAAAGGCGAGCTTCTTTATGGCAGTGTTTTAAGGGGGCATACGGAGTAC